AGGTGGACACTCTTGGTGCACCCCTTTGTGGGCTGTGTGCACAGTCTTGTTGTAGTTAAGCCTTGATTGCTGTTGGTATCACTGGGAGGAATTGACCTCCAGGCCAACTGGCTGTGAAGACCAGTTTTGTCTACAGTGGGAGAACGGCTGTGCTGGAGACACCCTTATGGGGCAGGACTTGCTTCAGTGGGGCTTTGGCACTCACTAAGTCTGCCCCCTTAGTGTGTCTCTTATGGATGTGAAGAGTTGTAATCTGGATGGTCTCACTCTGACCACTGGGTAGACTGGCTCTTGGATCTCCAAGGAGGTGCAAATTCAGCCACTGCCTGAGGCCACCCAGCAGGAGCTACAGAGAGAGATGCAGATTCCTCCTCTGTGTTTGGGGTTTGGAGATGCCCAGATGAGGCATAGCTATGAAGCAATGCAGGCTGCTGACGACCTTAGGCCTTCTTTTGGAAGCTCTGGGGTTCTCTGACCCAGCTGCAGTTTGACAGGTTTTTAGGTGGAGAAAGGCTAGGCCATTCATATGCAAAAGCCTCTGCACACAGCTTGGGTGGGGTTGTAAATTGGGTGGGGCGGGGTGGCAGGAATCACCAGGGCAGAGCAAACCACAATGGCTGCCAGTCTGCTTTGCCTAGGAGAGGTCCTGGGGTCTGTGTCCTGCGGCCCCGTGCAGGAACAATGATCGCTGCGTGCACCTCTGAGAGAAAGCCACCCTCACGTTCCGGCCGATGCCAGACAGTCCAGTTTCTCTCCTTATGCGTCTGGGTCCCCAGAGTCTCACCCGGAACTGGAGTTCAGAGCAGTCGGGAGTTGTATCTCTGTCCCAATTGAAAAAGACAACAGCATACCCAGCTGCCAGCCCCTTTCTTGCGTGCCTCTGTACCTCTACACTTCCACACCTCTGCACCTCCTACATGACTCTTTCTTTCTAGTTGTAGAATTTCCACTCAGCCAGCCTTCCCGTGGTTCTGGATGATATTTGTTTTGTCTTTTAGTTGTAGTTTTAATGTGGTTGTGCGTGGCAGCAAGTTCAGGTGTTTACCTATGCCGCCAACTTGGTTGTCCCTATAATTATTTCTAAACTAAAGCTATGGATACTCCAAAGTGATCTTTGTTTCATTAAAGTAGTTTCAATATTGTAGCTACTGGATACAGGGAAAACAAATGAAATAGGTTTCCAATGGACATTCAGCAAACCTGAAAATGTGCACACATATAAGCCCAGAAAGTGTTATATTTTTGATAATAAAACACTTAATAGACCTATTCTGAAACCTCACGTTACTGAAAACCTGTGTGTTTTAAGGTTGAATAGTAATAAGATTAATAGATTAATTCTCACATACATTTTATTACTCATAAGTCAGTGTCTCATTCTTTCAATCATACAAAATGTGGAGATTCCAACCCTAGGGAATGAGGTACCTCCCCTAAGGAAATGTGCAAGACAATCAAAGCTTTCATTGTTTAACATGACCAAGTGTTTTGTTGTTTCTTCTTAATTAAAAATGTTTACACAGAACTATAACATTTATTATTCCATTTTCTACTTTATTAAACAAATTTATTTCAAATTGTTTCAGTGGACACGGAGCCAGTGTGTGATGCATAGCACGGCTGGCTTCAGAGCAGAGTGCCAAGAATGTCATCAGCTTGTCATCCTCACCTTCTCACTGTCTGATACATTCTTTCTTAGAACTAATAAGAACTGAAGAGAAATTAGATAAATGACAGTGTGCAAATTGAATTGATGTGCAATTCTAGATCACTGCACGCACTCTGAAACGGCAGTTTGCTCTCAGGGACACTTTAAATGTACCACCGACTCTTATTTGTGTTCTGGGTGTTATGAGCACTGTGAGCGTGGTTTCTGAGCAAGGGGAACATTACTATTGAGAGATCTTTAAAGTTAACACATGAAAGCGTTATTCGGTTTACAGTGACATAATAATGATCTTATTAGCAGTGATAGTGTGGCCATGGGGACCGACTTGCCATCAGAAAATCAGGCGTGCATAGCCTTCTCTGTGTTTAAAAACTGTGAACTTGACAGGGGGATCGCTTTGTAAATTATATAAAAGTCTAACCACTATGCTGTATACCTGAGACTAACATGATATTGACTGTCAACTATCACTGAAAAAAAAAGGGAATAAAATAAATAAATAAATAAAATAAAAACTGTGAACTTGGACAAGTTATTTAACCTCTTTAAGCCTCAATTTTGAGGCTGGGTTTTCTCACTGACATAGAACAGTACTATCTAAGAGTGGTTAGGATTTGACGATATAACCCTGTGAAGCCCTGGTTCAATAAATGACAAAGTGCTCAATAAGTGTTATGAATCATCATCACAATAATTATATTATTAGGTAATAATAATAATTACTTCTAGTTTAACTTTCAGAGAACCATTAGCTGCTGCATTGCTCCCTCTTCTATGAGCTGGTTCTAGGTCACCAGCCAGGAAAGTATCCATAGACAGAGGTGGTACAGTGAGGCTTAAGGTTTCTTCTAATTACATTCTAAAGTCAAACCTAAATTATTATGAGATTATCTGCTATTTATCACTATCTCTACCTATCTCTCCATTCATTAGTGCTAATTATAACATTATATATACATTGATTTATCATTGAGGAATCAGATAATGCTTTCACGAAAAACTTACCCTTCCACAATAGTTCTGTTAGCCAGTCGTATACAATGTTCCCAAAGTATATTAGACACGGGCAAGGGTATCCGAACTCTCTTAGAAACCTCATTTAACCTCCTGTTAAACTGCTCAAATTCCTAAGAAGACAAAAATCCCGGTTGTATGTGAATGTAGTTATAATGCTGCATTGTTTTCCCATCTCAGTGGCAAAAAAGATTTAGGAGGACTTGGAATCAAACCAAGTAAAACCAAGAGATAATGCCTAATTTATTCAATTTGTTACACTTAGAAAAAAACCTTAATAGTGTTTAAATTATGTTGTAATACAGAGTATGTACAATACATTTCATCTCCAAGGAAATAAGTGTCATCAACTGATTAAACAATGCTAACCATGTTCAAATGTTCTCACATCTCAATTTTTTTATGACTGTCAGTATGGATAAAAAGAGTTTGATAATCTATGTTTTTAAAATCCTTTAAAAGGCCCAGTTTTTAAAAAATGTTTTAAGAAGCTTTAAATTCAGAGTGAACTATTTGTAATTTGTGGCTATCTATATTCCTTAGAGAACAATCTGATAAATTATTCTCCTTAAATATTTTTAAAGCAAATAATTATATAACAAATGATTTGAAAGTCATGTAATAGCTGCAAGTTTTTAGTAAGATGGACAAAATAAAACAAAATATTTTCAGTTATAGAAAACTGAAAATTTTTGTTACTTATTAGTAACTTTTATAATACCACGCTACTCAAAATAAAAATATGTGTAACCAATTTAGACAATTCCAGCTACATGAAAGCAGCAGATGGTTCACCTTTTAATAAATGTATTTCTGGTTTCTTTGGACTATTATTGCCTAAATATGTTCATTTACAAAAGTAAATGCTGTTGACCCTTCCTTGACAATATATTTCAAATAAATTTAAGGAGGCTTAAAATGGCATTTTTCTGCAATAGAGAAGTTACACAATGCTTAACAAGTCAAGATGGACATGTGTTCAAATTTTCTAATGACACACAGGGAGAAAAAAATCTAATGTGATCATCACCAGTCAAGCTACCACATCATTACTATTACGTTATTCCTTGCTACTTCCTAAATCACAATTTTTTGAGGATTCATTTTGACAGTTAACTGCTCTTAATTATTTATGAAAAAAGTGCATCTTTAACCTACTAAGCTTACTTTTGAAAATAAGAGTTAAATAAGTAATTGCTCTTCAATTTTTCATTTCATGAATCTAGTAGAGCAGTAGTATTTGCTATTGTGTTTAATGCTTCTTTACAGTAAACTGTGCTTTGAATTTCAAGAGTTTTCATTAATACTTTAAAGTTAAAATTATATGCTTACTGTATAAATGTCATTCTATTCATTGCTAAATTCATATGCAAGAGTGCTGTTGATAAATAGTAGAACCATTTCTTTTACTGAGGATTCTTTTGAAGCAGCAATGCAGAGTGCTTTTTACCTCTAACAGTTTAGACTTGGAAAAAATAATAGAACAAAATGTATCATAAAAGTTTATGAAAACTTTTAAGCTGATAAAAACTGGGTTCAGGTTAATAATGTGAATAGCACTGGTTCTTTCTTACATAAATGTATCAAAGTTTATGAAAACTTTTAAGCTGATAAAAACTGGGTTCAGGTTAATAATGTGAATAGCACTGGTTCTTTCTTACATATAATACTGATGCCCAGGCCTGGAGAAGGGACCATACCCTGCTGGGCACTGGAGCACTAGAGGTAGTCCACTGCTACCTCTGCTTTGATCATTGGCTTTGCTGACTGGTTCTCAATGTCCCAGGCTATGATTTATTGCCTTGGAAGCAGATAAAAATGTCTGTGTAAGTAAATGAGATAAAAGTCAGGAGCTTAAGGACCAATTTTCTTTTCACAGACAAACAGGAAAAACAAAATTTTTCTGAAAGCTTGTTTTCATTTTCCAGGATGCTCTTTCCTCACCTCAGACATCCACATGGCTCATGTTCTCACTTCCTTCAGTGCCTCCTCAATTCTCACCATTATTGGAGTCCTCTAACCACAAGTAAATGGTATTCCTCCCCACCCACCCCCTGCCCCTCTCTATCCCTCTTCTGCTGGCCATTTATTTTTTCACAGGACTGTTCCTCACCTGACACATCATATTTTAATTTATCTCTTTTCTACCGTCTCTCACTGGCATGTAAATTCCTTAATTCACAACTACATTGCCAGCACCTAGAGCAGTGCTTGCCACATGTCAGGTGATCTATAAATATCTCATGATGCATAATTTTTTTAAAAAATGACTACAATTCTTTCCAGAAAACTTATAAACATAAATCATTAAATGCAAAGGTATTTGCAAGACACATTGCAAAAGTAATGTGATTTCTGTAAAACACAACTTAGAATAATCGGGTGTATGGCCTCTTGCTAATATACATACAACTGTAGAAATACCTTTTTGTCTCCACAGCCATGGCTATTGAGGTTTCATAACATGAGAATCAGCCAAGTTATGCCAATCAAACTCTAAGTCCAGTGGAAAATTAGTGAGCAAAACAAAAGATCTACAAAGTATTCTTGGGTCTAAAAGAACACAAAATTCAGAAAATAAGCCTAATCTAATTCAGGGACTTTAATATCACGATGCTAGAAATGTGGTAATACTGTAACTATAATTCACTACTTTAGAGCGATTGCAATTATAAGAACAGTTCTCTTAGCAGAATCATCTTTAACAAAGACGTTTCCCAGAGTACTTGCCTTTAACAGTGCATCTACATATATGTTGTGCTGTGACATAATTTCCTTTACATCCCATTTCACGTTAGCCATCAGGAGCAGCATCTGTTCATAATCAATGGCTTTACCAGCTACGATCCAGTAAATTGGTTTGCGTAGTTCACTGGCAGTTGAGACTGTCTGAAATAAATTACACAGAAATGAAAACAAATGTTTTCTAAAGTATCAAATGTATAAAGGACATTTTGCTCCTATTTCTAGGACACATCATATCTGAAAATAAGTCATTATTCATTTGGAGTTTTATATTATGAAAATAATTTAATTCCAGGGCAAAGGTCTCACTCAAAACATAATTTTGAGACATTAAGTAAACTTGAGGCTATAGACAGTAGTTTCTAAAAGAACTACAGATTTTCTTGGAGATAGCAAATACTTCTCAAGTTCTTTCACTTCTTTCCATCTCGACTCCCACTCTTCCCACCTCACAATTCCATCTGACTGCATTTCTGTAACTGCCCTCCAGCCGGTCTTCATGCCTCTAGGCTTGTCATCTCACGTCCATTCTTCACATTGCCTCCCAAGTACACTTTCTAAAACACATCCCTGACCATGCCACTCACCTGGGTCAAATCCTCCCGTAGCTTCCCAGTACCCTTGGAATAAAGTCCCACTTCTGGCTGAGAGCCCTGTACCTCGTGTGGCTCCTGCTTATCACTGCGCCATCTTTCTCGTCACAAGCCCGCTTCCCTGCCCTGGCAGCTGGAGTGTCTCAGCTGCTCACGTGCATCATGCTCTCCCTCCCCTGCTGCCCTTGCTTAAGCCATCCCTTAATTTGGAATATACTCCCCACTCGCCTAGCTGGTCAGGTTTAAACATCACTTCCTCCAAACAGCCTTTCCAGACAACCTGCTTCCAACCACACCCCTTTCCTCCCGCAGTCAAGGTTAAGTACCCTGCCGCTGATTCTTTTCCTCTTTTATATTTTAAATAACTGGCTTTCTCTCTCACTGGACTAAAAGTTATATGAGTTGCCCAATAAATATTTAATACAGTGATTCAGGGGTGAATAAACTAATATTCTAATCCAGCTTTCCTGGGATTTGGAGATTGATCACTTGTAAAAAAGGAAACAAAACCAAACTCCTAACTAATGTGTGACAGTCCTCTTTGGCTCCCAGTTGAAATGACACACGAGACAGCCCATCTCTGACCTGAGAATAAAATTGCTGAAGGAAGGGCTTTTTGACTGCAGGCATCACAGCATCCAGATGCGGCTGAAGGAACTCAAATTGTTCAGCCAAGAACACCCTAAAGGGAACAAATAACCCGCCTTGTGAACACAGCACAGGAGTGAGAGAACTGCCAGTGTTTTTGTAAAAAGTAGTCTTCAAGATCTCTAAGCAAAACTTTAACAATTAAAATTATTTTCCACTTTAGTGAACTACCTCTTGACATGCTCATTTACATTCTACATAAAAATGAAAGCTCAACTTATCACTGAATGTGAATTGAGGTGGAAGAACAGTGACTTCAAGGGAGCTGATTTGGACACAAAGGTGTAGTTATGCTGCTTTGCATGTTAAGATATGAGCACAGATAACACAAAACATTGGAGAAAGATTTGAAAGGATTTCTTTTAAAGATCCCATTTAATTACATACAACAGACCCCTGAATTCACAGATTTAACATCTGACACTTATCAGAAGTTACCCAACATTCACAACATGTAACAAACGAACTCGACTGAGACACACATGTGAGCTTCAGGTCCGGAGGCTGGGGTGTAGGAGCCGGAGGCACCCGGCTGGAAGACAGCTGGCAGCCTCACCATTTTTCTCTATTTTTTGTTATGTACACAAAAATCCTTCAATTGGAATTGACTACATTTCATGGGAGAAGTTATATGCTTCAGTTGTGTTAAAACCTGGGGGATTTATAAAGGTCAGGATGCACTCTTGCTGATGTCAAGGGTCGACTACATTTAACACTGAACTGACAATGTAACTGGTTTCTCCAGAACCATGATTCAATAGGAAATAGAAAGTACATGAGAACATTTTTTAAAGTTTTACTTAAAGCAAGGATCATGTTGCTAAAGATTGAAACTTAAAAGATTTCCCTCCTCCCATTTATGTAACCGAAAACCAAACATGCAGTTTTAAAAATCCATTGGTAATCTATTTTAGGGTATACTTCTCAGAAATACACATTGATATTTTGAAATGGAAGATATATACAGCTAGAAGTCTAATTTTACAAGGCTTACTTTAATAACCTTTCTTAAATATTCAATGGCAAAGTAACTGTTTTTAACAACTTACAAGGATTCTGTGGCTACCACTCTTTCAGCCAACCCATATAATGTATCCCCGGAGGTCAAAACCACTAGGTGACTTAGGTGTGGGCTTGGGACCTTCTCCTTTCGCTCTTCTGCTGCTGTGAGTGTGGCAGTAGGATCAGCTGCAACTTCCTGAAAATGCAGCACATACATACACAGTCTGAAACAACAAATCTAACAGCAATAAACCACGTGATTTTACCAAACTGAACTATAATTCAAACACTCTTAGGCATGCATTAATTACATTTAGTTCTTGCTCTCCCCCGCCCCTCCTCCACGCCCTCTTTTTATATTTTCTAACTGCTGGAACATTCCTTCTTATACTAAGTGAAAATGATTCAACTCTATATGCTATAATCTGTGCATGAACTACAGTTGGCCAACACAAGGAATCTTCATGAATCGAGAGATGTTTCAGAGAGACAACAGTGAGAGATGACCTTCAAGAACTTACAAATGAGGGAAAAGAAATTGTCCCTTGAGAACTAAGCTAAGTATCAAAATTATGGTGTGATTCACTATTTCACACCCAAGTCTAACCAAGGAAACTTTGAAATAATCTCAAGAAAGCAGGACTAGAATGTAGTTATAAACTGAAACAGAACCAACTGTCTGGGACAGATTATTGATGAGAAGGAAGATGGTTACTGGGAAGAAAAGAAAGGGATGCCTGCCCCCAAAGCAGGGAGTGTTTAGCTTTAAAGATCATCAAAGAAAAAATCAGACACAAAAAATTAGACACACAAAAACATCTGAAGTGCAAATGTAAATCTAGATTACTTTTTAAAGCAATTACATAGTCGCAAATTGCCGACATTTTCCTTATGAATAAAAGGGACATCAAATGCATAGGACTCTGGGAGTATAACTTAAGTATATAAATTTAGCAAAATGAAAATGAAACATTATAAAACCCTTCAAATTAGAAAATGGTTTAATTCTTCATTAGTTCTTTTTTATATCCTATCTTCTTCTAAAGATAATGTCTCTCTTCATCTCTAATTACTGAATTAGCATTTAAAAGTTATTTGGGAACAACTGTGCTTTCTCTAGAGAGAATCAGGATAAGGAAACTATGCAAGTTAATCAATGTTGCAGTTCCATTATTTATTTCCTTCTACTTAAAAGGAAAACAAGCACCCCACTCCTAAAAGAAAACACAACCCACAAAAATCACATACTGTTTGGTACCAACTGGTTGCTGGTGTTATTTAGTGTAATTCTGGTGGATGCTTCCTCATCATCTTCCAGACTGTCCAAGTGCGGAACCCTGGAGTCATTCATGACCCCCTTCCTCCTCGCCTCCATCTCCTTTGTTTCTTCCTCATGTCACTACTTCATCAGGACCAAGACCACAGCATTCTTAACTGAACTATTCTAAATGTCCCTCATAGACACCTCTTCCACTAGCTTATCCTGTTTCTACTCCACTTTCCACAGGTTTAACTGGCTGTCTTTTCTATAATACAGAAGTGATATTTCTAAAATGCAGACATGATCATACCACTCCCTTGCTTAAAAGTCCCCATTCTGTACAGGTGAAAGCCTAATCTTGTGCCATGATATTATGCCTTTACAAATGACACCAGCTACCTGGCCAGCCTCATTTCCAGGTAATCTTCTCCGTCCTTCAGGTCTAGCCACACTGGCCTACTTGCTATATACCTGGCCTATTGACCCTCCTGTTGAACCAGCCCCGCCCCCTCATCCCCACCCCCTATCTGCCTAGCTCTCTCCTCTGCAGTTTTTAACTCTGAGCTCGTATTCACCTCCTTCCTATAACGTTCTCAGTCTCCCAAGAATTAGTGCCCTAGCTGGTTTGGCTCAGTGGATAGAGCATCGGCCTGGGACCAAAAGGGGCCAGGTTTGATTTGGGTCAAGGACACGTACCTCAGTTGCAGGCTCCTCCCCAGCTCTGGCCCTGGTCAGGACGAGTACAGGAGGCAACCAATCGATGTGTTTCTCTCACATC